TTGAACAGTCGCTAAAAAATGACCGATGAACAAGGGAAACCTAAGCGCAGAATGGTTGTAGACTTTCAAAAGCTAAACGCTCAAACTATTACAGATAGATACCCATACCTGATGTGGCTATGACCATACAGAATTTAGGTAATGCAAAAGTATTTACAACTTTAGATTTAGATTCTGGCTTCCATCAGATCCTTCTTAAAGAATCTGACAGGGAAAAACCACCTTTAGTGTAAATGGAGCTAAATATGAATTCCTTCGTATGCCGTTCGGCCTGAAAATGCTCCATCAATTTTCAAGATGTATAGATGATATTTTGAGACCATATATCGGCAAGTTCGCATACGTTATATAGACGACGTTCTCATTTATTCTTCCTCTCCGAAGAACATATCGAGCACATCCGCATAATAATAAACGCGCTTCACCAGGCCAACATGAATATCTCCAACGAGAAATCTCACTTTTTCCAGGACTCTGTAGAATATTTAGTCATATAATTAAATATAACAAGATTACAGTTGATCCTTCAAAAATACAAACCATTAAAGATTTTCCTTATCCCATAACGCTTAAGGAACTCAGATCCTTTCTAGGCCTTGCGAGAGTTATTATCGAAAATTCATACAGAATTTCGCAGCCATAGTCAAGCCACTTACCACGTTCCTCAGAGGAGAGAACGGTGGCATATCAAGAATCAAAGTGCAAAAATAAAAATCAGCTTAGACGAACGTGCACTAGAAGCATTAAACAAAATAAAAGAATAATTACAAGCCCAGGTTGAACTCTTCCAACCAAATTTTACCAAACCCTTCGAATTAACCACAGATGCTAGCAATTACGCTTTAGGAGCCGTATTATCTCAAAACCAAAAACCCATATCATTTATTTCGCGAACGCTCAGCGAAACAGAACAGAATTACTCCACGAATGAGAAAGAGTTACTCGCAATTGTGTGGTCACTACAGAACTACGTAATTACTTGTATGGTATAGCAGATTTAACAATTTACACTGACCATCAATCATTAATCTTCTCCATATCAGAAAAAAACCCCAATACAAAATTAAAAAGATGGAAAAATTTCATTGAAAATATGGTGCAAAACTCGTTTACAAACCCGGACATCAGAACGTTGTCGCTGATGCACTTTCTCGCCAGCAAATAAACAACACTGTAAATTCTGATGACTCCCAACATTCAGCACAAAGCTCCCAACACAAAAACTCAAACGAGTAAAGAAGCCAATAAACTCCTTTAGAAATCAAATTATTGTGAATCAGTCAGATCAAAACTCCGCCGAAATATCGTCACAAAACATATTTTCTAACAGCCGACACACGTTTTTTTAACACAAAACTGAATTACTAGACAGACTAAAAACTATAATTAGACCAAAGGTCACTAACGCACTTCTTATAGACGAACAAATATTATTTAACGTAGAAAACGAGATTATCAACACACATAACGCACTTCTTATAGACGAACAAATATTATTTAACGTAGAAAACGAGATTATCAACACATTTCCGACTGTATCAATTGTACTAGCGCAAAAATTGGTAGACGACATCACCGAAACCGAACAACAACAACGAATCATACAAGACACACACAGACGTGCTCACAGAAACTACAAAAATAACGCACAGAAAATTTCGCTCAGATACTACTGGCCAAACAGGACTGCGAAATTTGTCTTACAAATAAGTATGAACGCCGACCAAATAAACAACCAATAGGTTCAGCACCAATACCGAACAAAGTAGGCGAATACATACACTTAAATTTATTTTTTATGAACAATAATATATACATTAGTTCAACCGACAAATACTCAAAATTCTGCCATTTGAGACAAATACCATCAAAGAAGGACACATACAAATACGTTGACGAAATACTATCGCAAATATACCCAAACGCAAAGTTTGTAATGACTGATAACGAGTCAACACTTACTGGCATATGTGCACAACAAATATACAGGCGGCTACAAATAACGCATACCAAAACTCCAGCCTATCATTCGACAACAAACGGGCAAGTTGAACGGACGCATAGCACGATAATTGAACTCGCGAAAGTTTTGGCACATGAACACAGTTCGGCACCTGATGAACAGATATTCGAAGCAGTCCGACAATACAACAAAACAATCCATTTGGTAACCAACGAGAAACCCGAGGACATATTTTCAATCAAAGAGAGTATCCTGACATCAAGGAGTGTCTTCAAAAACCAGAGAGAGTTTTACATCCCATAACCGCAATCGCAAACAACTGACCTATAAAGAAGGAGACGTAATATATTCCAAGACGCACAGAAGGAACAAAAACGTAAAAAAATACGCGAAACACATAGTTAAAGAAGATAACGGTAAGACAATAACAACCAATAAAAGAGTTATTATACGTAAGGACAATATCAGGCATGTACGGAATAATATTTATCTCACTTTTCTCTATCGTACTTTGCGATAGTATAATAGATTTAACCGATAGGAAATATGTACTTGTAGAAACAGATCCTGTTTACATATATCAGGACACAGCTTTCTTATATCACATATCTAACCTTACAAAAATAATCGCGCCGTACGAAAATATAATGAAATCATCATACAATCTAGAAAACCAACCTGAAACTCAAATATTGGTGAACAAAATAGAATCTCTGAAAAATCAACTCATCCCAAATATCTATAGACCCAAAAGATCACTTAACTTCCTTGGTTCCATGTTAAAATTCATCACTGGCACACCAGACAACGATGACCTTGTAGAAATCAAAACTTCACTTAATATGCTAATAGAAAATAATAATAAGCAAAGAACAATTAATTTACAGTTCCAAAGAATACTCGAAACCCTTGATCCCAAAGCAATAACCGAAAAAATTATTATATCAGAAGTTTATAATGAACTCCAATCAATAACGAACACTATAAATTTTGCAAAAACTAATAATTTTTACTCTGGCACACTAAATTTAAAAGATGTATATGATTAAATAAAGCATGAAAAGTTGGATCTTCCATTAATTAATATATTAGAGTATGCAGACATTTATATCTGTTACCTACAAGAAGCAATTATAACCATATACAAATATCCTATCCTCGAAACTAAATGCAGCCTATTTAATGTATACCCTTTAGCACATAAGCATGGTAAAATTAATTTAAACCTTAAGATCGCAAAATGTAACAATTATCAAAGAGTATCTAAATGTAAAAATTATATGAGTACCTTTATTTGTAAATCAGAACCCTCTGACAATTGTACTATAAAAATATTAGAAGACAAATCAGCCCAATGCGATACAATCCATGAAAACAATGCTCCACTCCACATCTTAGAGAATGGATATATTTTGACAGATTACCAGCATACTTGGAACAACATACATATATCAGGCGGCGCTCGTACTAAATTGATACATTATAATGAATCCACAAACATCGATAATATCACGTACTACAATCATCAAGGACAATTGAGAGAAATCATACACAATCAACACAGCGAAAAATTTGAAGTACTCCGTATCCTTTCCTCAAATTCAATCTACAAATTCAGTAATATCCAAAAACTCTCAACATAAAATCTGAAAAAACCGATGACGTAATTTATGGACGGCCCCTAAGAGGAACCGTAGAAAGCCTGGCAAACTCATTGCGCAAGAGAAGCATCGTTTCATTGCGTTGTCTACCATGATAAAAACGTTGACGGGCATCAGTAGAAACAATATAAAGGCCTTCTTGAGACGTGACTCTGGATAAGGCTACGTAGACCAAAGACTGTGAATGTGTCTTGCTGTATTTGTACACAATTTCATCAAATTTTCCCCCTTGTGACTTGTGAATAGTCAATGCGCAAGCCGGTTTGAGTGGAAAATGAATTCTTTTCGCATGGATGGATTTATTTCGGTTAAGAGGTACTGATGCAGATCTACGGTTGATAGGAATTAATTCGGTACTGATTCCTTTTGCGTTTGCGTAGCCAGCTACTTTTCCACGAGCTTTAATACCAACTCCTTTTGGAAATAGAAGCCAAACTCGCAGTACTTCATTTTGAGTATTCAACTCAACATATGATAATTTACCAACTGTCTCATTGGCTAAACCATTGGCGACATCGATCATCGCCGCTGCTACAACGTTATCGTTATTCTTGAATTAGGATCTTGAAGAAGGTGTTGATACGGATCAGGAATTTCTTCTACATTAACTTGATTTCGATGATCCTGTGAATCTATATCATAAATAGGGCTCTGTTGACCGTTGCAACTGAATCATTGTATAAATCTACAAGTAGCCCATCCTAAGATTTTCACTAATACACATTCAAAAATATCCCACTTGGTAGGGGTTGCCTCGAAAATTCTACTACTAAAATCACACTTGGTACGGGTTGCCAACCAATATTCTGCTACTAAAGTCACACTTTGTACGGGTTGCCAACCATTATTCTGCTACTAAAACGTCCAAATGACAGAAATCTGCTATAATGTGTTGCCGTGTTATGTTTTAAAATTTATAACTTTAAGAATGTTTTTTTACATACTCAAATATTTTTCGGTTGTTTTAATTCCTAAAGATTAAATTTACATTTTATTATTTAAATTAATATTTGTTGTGTTGAAATATTATTAAATGTTTCCAATTTTATCAAATATATTATTTTATAATTGAATTGTACCTGATTTTTATATATTTATTTTCGTTTTTGTTCAAATCAAGTTGAATATTTCAACTTATATTGTTAATGTTATTATTATTCATGAACCTGATTCATGTACCTGATTTTATGTATATATCTTTTCGAGTTATAATTGTTATGAAAAGTAGATTGTTTTAGAACTGTATATATTATATGGGTGAATATAGGCCTCCTGGGGAACCGAACACCCAAAAGAGATCGGTAACGCGCCTATATTGCAACCTCAGAGGTGGTGAGGTAAAGCAATAGATATATAATAATCTTTTGTTTCGAAAATTTTCTTGAAAGTTTTCATTATTATTTTCATTACAAATACATGTTCATAAACAAATTGTTACACTACAACCTTTTATTTAAAACTCTGTGTCAAAAAAGGCATATTCGATCAGGTGATCACGGCTGTTTCACACACATAGGAAAACAGCTGATTCTTTGGCTACTTGTAGGCTTATACAATGAACTGAATATCGACAAGCAACTGTCAGCCATTGCCAAAAGCAGTGTACATATTACAAACACACACAGGCATAATATATAGACTCGTATCTGTCATATATTGTATGTGCCTTGGCTCGCTGTGCCTGCGCATACGCGTACAGCTAAATCACAACAATATAAAGTCATTAAGCATAAATCATGTGACAAACTAAATAAATATGTGGTAGCCGCAAAGCAACACTGTCGTTGTAAATTTTTGGCCACTGAATTCATTTGACTGCCATTTCTTTTTGTTTTTGTTATTTTTCTATTTCCTTTGCATTCGCTTAATTGGTTGTTAAAAATAATTTATTTTATTAACGCGCAGTTCATCAGAATGGAGTTGGCCATAGGCAAAATGTTTGAAAGTGTGGTGGAAGAGGTGAGTACTGGCGCTTAACTGCATAAAATAATTAGTTTGTTTACAAAATTAACACAGCTTCTGCTTCCAGCTCTCGATCGTGGGTTTGAACTGAGCCTGCGCAAGGCTGCTTATATAGCACGGTTTTTAAATCAGCTTATAATATTCAATGAAATTTCGTTCAAGCATTTGTCATCACTGCATTGCTCCAGTCAACGATCGGTCTTTAGCGATCATTACTCAACGCCTTCACTATTTAGAAGTTTACTTGAAAAAATAACTGGAAAAAACTCCAAGCAAATTAAAGAAATAATGTTAAAAATTAAATGCATATGTATATTTACTTATATATTGGCATGTAACTGTTTCGTACAAATGTGTTATGAATATTGAAATATTATTCTATTTTGCGGCGCCATGCAAATTTGATTTCAATGCTGCCATATTACTCGCTTTTGTTTAATTACTCAGCACAGAAATATATTTTATAACTGTATTCACTTTTTCATGCTTATTTGGAAATTTAAGTACTTTGTTGCACACCTTCCGCGACCACATGTTTAATACTCAAAACTAAAATATGTAAAAATTAAATAAAATCGGAATTAAAATTGTGGCAGAAATCAAGTTCGTGGGTTGGCTGCAGTTGCTGAAAGAAAAAAAAAAATAATAATAAATTAATATCAATAAAATAATAACACTTTAAAATAGAAGAACAACAAATTTAATGCGGCTATCCATATCACTGCAGCCAATCTAATATGGCGGCGCTCGTACCAATCAGCTGACCGTGTAGTGTATAGACTATGATAGTAGTATAGATGGCGCTATAGTCATAACAACAATAACTCTACACAAAGTATACATAAAAGTATACTCAACTGAAAAGTGGGGAGAAATGATGCGCGCGAAAACGTTACCGAGTTCATCTGAGGTCATTCATCAGTAGATTTCACTCCTCATATTTTTTCATACCAGGCGCCTTATATGAAAAACGATTCTTAAGGAGTAAACTCCAAAAAATTATAATTTCCGCGGCCTCCTTCATTGGGAGACCCAAACTATACATTTAACAAAAGAAATACATATATGTACGTTTATAAATATGTTTTAATATTAATTTATTGTTTATACTTACTATCATCGCATTTATACTAATATATCCCTTTCGGTTAAAATACAAATGCTCATCATCAGTTGTCTTTATTATATTTATATGTGTTCCATCTATGCAACCGACAATTCCGGGTATTTTGTACTTTCCAAAGAAGTGATTTCTTTAAATCAACCTTTCGTTTTCATCTATAGAGAGTTTTATTCACTGACCGCAAATGTACTTCTCTAAGAGGCATATCAATTGTCTTTACAATCTGCGACACCGTACTTCTTGCCAAACTGATGCAAAAATCACGTCATACTCCCCGTTGGTAAGCACCCTCTGTTAAAAATCGCAATTTTGCTGTCATTTGTATTATAGGCAGAATCTTCGAAGGCTGCAAATGTGGTTCTATGATATTTAACACTATAAGAAATGCGTGTTTATTCAGTCGATAATGTGATATAAATCTGTAAAGTAGCGTTACGATATATAAAAGCTGTTAAGTAAATGCAAGCTAAATTTCTCTTACGATTCCCCAGCACCATCAGGTGGATAACTTTGGTCTCTTAATATTTTCCTTGTAATTTTTTCGTTACTTTCTTCTTCTAATAAAACAAAAGCTAAAATCGCGGGACTCATTTTAAATTTTATTATAATTGCTTTCAAAGTTCACAATAGTAGAGAGCTGATTCGAATATTGGTTTTGCATAGACAAAAATCCAATCAGATTCTGTGACATCATTGAAAATCAGAATTCGACAACACCCTTTATTATGATAACAAAACACATACAAAAATATTGCGAAAAAAGTGACTACTAAATTAGAAGTTTGTTGGCAATAATTATTGCTTGTGGGTTGCCATTTTAAGATATTCCTAGCCAGCTGATATTTCTTAAAATGGATCACGATTTAAATAGCACAATATATTATATATTAAATTTGTGACTGTTGGTTTAATAGTAAATCATACGACATACTTGTATGCGGGCTGATCATAAAATATCTCAAAACTTTTAACCAACATGGATTTAAAACGCACAGGCATTGTATAATCCTAGGCACAGGGTCATGCATAAGTAAGTTTTACTTTAGCTTTACTTTTATAACTTCTTACCATGATCAGGGAGGGTAGTGAACTTTGAACCACGTAAGATTTTAAATTTAAAAATTCATCACTTTCGCGGTTAGAGTTGGCGTTATAGAATAGCGCCATCTGTACTTCACCTCTTTAACTTGATATTAAAACAGATAAAAATCTATTATTTTATTGTTAGTTTCGTTGTCATCTTATACGAGGGGTGTGGTAATAGATGCATCATTTTAGTTAACCCAGCTTCTTTATTTCACTTCACTAATACAGTATATGCATACTTACACACACAGTATATACTCACATGCTACTGATCGGTCGAATTTGGATAAGTGTACATGGAATGACATTAGATATTGAAATAACTCTTGAATAATAATTTTCGTCAAAACGGTCCAGATTGTTACAGCTTATTAAAGAATGTTTGACATTTTCGAATTAACGACGTGTGTACAGGACAACGTCTGTCGGGTCTACTAGTCTTTATATATATATTTCTTGTGTGTGTGTGTATGTCACTGAACTCCTCCTAGACGGAGTTAGGGGATTCAAGGATGGTTAAGATTCACAATTTGGTCCACAGGAAAATGTTTATTTAACTAATTTTTCATTTATAAGTAGTTGTTAATTTTGTAATGTTTTACCATAGAATGCTAATGAATAGAGAAGGTGCAAATGTTAAAAAGTACTAAATTGAACTTTTTACAAGAGGAAACATCGAAAAATAAAACTCCGACTCTTTTGAAATACAGCACGCAATGATCGAAACGGGGAAAGTCTATAAATCGACACAACGAATGTTGCATAAAAATATCTAATAGACAAAGCCTAAGCGGCCGCGATTCCAGTTATGCGGTGGCTCAGGTCGTAAGCTTGAAGGAGTTAAGCCATTCCGAATACAAACGCTTACAATCGAATCCTGTAAATCATAAACCTTTATTTTTGATTTTATTTTATTATTTAAGATTTTAGCTAATTTCAATTCAATTACTTTAATAGCATATTTTACTTCCTGAGATAATTCAAATTATTCAGGAAATATGTTCATATGTTTAGGATTATTGCATATTCCCTTATTTATGCGTATTTACACAAATGTGACAATCACACATACATTCATAAGTACTTGTACACGTACGCTGATGCTTGCTTCTTCTTGCCCCGCACAAACAATGACTTTTGAACTTTTTGCTTTTTGCGAGACGCAAGTTGAACAATGGCAAGCAAGGAGGAGTCAGGGGCGCACTGACACATAAGTATATCAGATATATTTTTATTAATCGATTTTTTTTTTTAAACGTTTAAATAAGTATTCATATATGTGTATTTATATTTTTACGTAAATATAATATTATAGTATTGTGTAACTAAGTTCTAAGATATAAGTATTTCTCAATACAAATTATTCAATATGATAATACAATATAAATCCTCTGTTGAAACGCCTCTGACCATGATGTCACGCCATGGAAGTAACGGCGAGTTCGCGCGGAGACGGGGCGGAGCAAAAAATTTAGTTCTGACAAAACGTTGAAAAAAACCAAATGACAACTTTGCCGACAAACACATATACATACGAGCTCGCTTACATATTGACGCTGAATTTTGAGCATCTTGACAAAAATTGTTTGAATATTTTTGCAGTGCTTTGCTATTGAAAATTTACTTATACTCTTTTGAAATACTACGACTACCGATTGGGCTACATTTTTATGCCATTGAATTTAGATAAAATGGGCTAAAACGTAAAACTATGAAATAATGATAATAAGTAAACATATAAAAATATTATATGTAGTGTGCTTAGAATATATAGAAGTAGTTAAAGATTTCATATGAATGGCAATTTTATATAAATTTTATAATATGTCATATAAATGATGATGATTTCAAGTCGCTAATAGACCATGTTGTCCATTATCCTTTCTGAAGGGAACATCAGACAAATTCTTCAATTTCTGATTTTTAGCAAAGGTTGTGACGAAGCAGCTTGTGGGCAACATACAAATGCGAGGAGGATGGTAGAATTTTCAGTGTTACAAATTGTAAAATTGAAATTTTGGTGATTCTTTAATTTAACTGAAGACATTCTAATTCAATTTCATTCATTTTTATTTAAACTTCATTTTCGCGCATTTTCAGTAGGAATTATGAATGAATTTGTTGGCGTTGTAATAGGAAATATTAAATAAAAATAGAACGAGCGAGCTTGAATCTTGTTGGTCGATGATGGTGCGTCTAGGTTTTTTTTTGTCGCTTGTCCACATGATTAGTTTTGTACAAAAGACATATTGAGGGCATACATACTTATGTGTATGCAAATATATTTGGCCACGGGAATGGAGAAAAAGCAATTTCAAGAATATTCATATATAAATATATTGTAACGGCTAATGGTTACACACTTATCTTTATTTCTAATTCCAAGAACTTAACACTTATTGCTTGTCATTCGAGCTTACAACTTCTTGCTTATGTCTCAATTGTTCTTATCACTACAACACTCTGTGTTTGCTGCACAACGCGGCAGCCCTTATATAGTAAATCTGTAACAAAACATTGCTTCTAGAACATTCTGGCAACTACGAATTCGCTAACTAGTTGCTTCTGGCAGTTTATCGTTGATTCGATTTTGTTCTATCATCCGTGTTCGTCACACTGCCCTCCACCTAAGTCTGATCGTCCCGATTACGGATTCCGGATACTCAGTTTCTGGTACATCCCTTGATTTAAAGCTGACTTGAGATTCCATTCTTGATCAGAACGTAACTCCATTGGAACGTCTATCATCCGTGTTCGTCACACTGCCCTCCACCTAAGTCTGATCGTCCCGATTACGGATTCCGGATACTCAGTTTCTGGTACATCCCTTGATTTAAAGCTGACTTGAGATTCCATTCTTGATCAGAACGTAACTCCATTGGAACACCGAATCTCGTTACCCACTTGTTGATGAATGCCTCCGCCACTGGTTCAGTCTCTTGGTTAGGAATTGTGTATACTTGTGGCCATTCGTTGAAATGGTCCTTGACTACCAAAACATGACTATTTCCTAATTTATTCGTGGGGAATGGACCATCTTCATACACGCCTATTTTCTCAACTGCCGCACGCGAATTATGCTGTTTCATCTGCCCATGACTCCTGGACCTTGATCCTTTAGCTACAATGTTCTCAGCATATTTCGCAATCCTTTCTATAGCTGATTGACAACCAGTCCAATAAAACCTTTGCTTCAAATGCCCCAAGGATTTCATGTCTCTCAAGTGCCCTCCTCTTGGACATTTGTACTGCACGTTAAGAACATCAGGAATTCCAACCCTTGGAACAACCATAAATACTCGGAAGGTTTGCCCATTTTCGCTTTTCCATACTCGATGCAAGCAGCCATACACTAACTTTAAACTGCTCCGTTCTGCCCAATATGATTTTGTGACTGACCTTCCTGTAGTTATTTCTCCAATCGTTGTACATTAATTCAACTCCACTTCATGTAATGTACCTTCCAATTCTGGATCTTTTTGCAAAGAGTCATCCGTTTCAGGTTCAATTTTATGCTGATCTTCCACCTGTGATGGTATACACGCTTCCTGCTCTTCCAACTGTAAGGACACTTGTGCTGGTATCCAAGCTTCTTGATCTTCTAACTGTGAGGAACCTTTTACTGGTTCACATGCTTCCTCCTCTTTCAACTGCGAGGACACCTGCGCTGACATACGCACGTCCAGCTCTTTCGACTGTGAGGACCCTGGTACTGGTACACACGCTTCCTTCTCTTCCGACTGCGAGGTCACTTGTGCTGCGAACTGCTCTTCCAACCGCGTTTCTAACGAGGACAATTGGGATTGTTGTGTCAACATTTGTGATAACACCTCTGCTATTTGTTGGGTTATACGTGCATCCTGCTCTTTAAATTGTGTCGATATATCTGTTGATATTTGAGACATACGTGTGTCCTGCTCTTTAATTAGTATCGATATATCAGTTGATATTTGAGACATACGTGTATCCTGTTCTTTAATTTGTGTCGATATTTGCGTTGACATTTGCGATATTGCGGCAAAAACCATGTTTATGTCCACAATCTTTGACGAGCATTGAGCCTCTTCCTTTTCTTCTATCTTTGTTGTCTCTTCTTCTAATTCCATGCGAAAGACATATTCCTCAACATTAATGTTTTCCGCCTCCATGGCCTCTCTCAACCGTGATTGTAATTCAGTTTTTAATCCATTTGTCGCCAAACCCCGTTGCTCCAGCTCCTTTTTCAGTTGTGGAATCTTCAGATCGTTGAACTTGGCCATTTTCAAATAATTATCTCCTTGGGAATTTATTTGACAATCCCACTTCTGACACCAATTGTAACGGATTTCTCGATAAATCGTCTACCTGTAACTCACTCTTGAGTTCGATCACTAGATTGTTAAATAAAAGTCACAATTTAATGGCTACACACTTATCTTTTTTTCTAATTCCAACTAACAACTTAACACTTATTGCTCGTTATTCGAACTTACAACTTCTTGCTTATGTCTCAATTGTTCTTATCACGACAACACTCTAACTAGAACTGTGTTTGCTGCACAATCTGGCAGCCCTTATATAGTAAATCTGTTGCTCTTATACGTTGCCTACCTCTCAAGGATTAACCAAATATATTGTACATCCTAGGGTATTACGATAACTTCAGTTTTTTTAGATAATTAACTCTAAGAATAAATACCTGTTATAGAATAGATTCAACCTGTTCACAATCAATTAAAACGACTTCAAGTTTTCATTCAATACAGCTTCTACAATCTCTGAAAGCATTCTAATATACATATTGACATGCTATTGATTGATCGGATTGTGATAAATATAATAAAAATTTCATCAAAACGGTCTAATTGTTACAGCTAACTTCAAAAAGTTTCCATTAAAGACGTGATACAGGACAACGTCCGTCGGGATTCTAGTTTATTATAAAATTTAAAAAATTATTTTTAATTTGAAAAACAATAGAATTTTTGAAAAAATACACTTTCCGCTTACGGATTTGTAATCTTCGCGTCCAAATAAGACCAATTTAAAAAAAATTATAATTTCCGCAGCCTCCTTCATTGGGGGACCCAAACTATACATTTAACAAAAGAAATACATATATGTTTTAATATTAATTTATTGTTTATACTTACTATCATCGCATTTATACTAATATATCCCTTTCGGTTAAAATACAAATGCTCATCATCAGGTGGCTTTATTATATTTATATGTGTTCCATCTATGCAACCGACAATTCCGGGTATTTTGTACTTTCCAAAGAAGTGATTTCTTTAAATCAACCTTTCGTTTTCATCAATAGAGAGTTTTATTCACTGACCGCAAATGTACTTCTCTAAGAGGCATATCAATTGTCTTTAAAATCTGCGACACCGTACTTCTTGCCAAACTGATGCAAAAATCACGTCATACTCCCCGTTGGTAAGCACCCTCTGTTAAAAATCGCAATTTTGCTGTCATTTGAATTATAGGCAGAATCTTCGAAGGCTGCAAATGTGGTTCTATGATATTTAACACTATAAGAAATGCGTGATTATTCAGTCGATAATGTGATAATATTTTCCTTAAAATTTTTTTGTTACTTTCTTCTTCTAATAAAACAAAAGC